CATGGTCCCATCTCCCACTGCCACTCTGACAGATTCCTCCCCTCCAGTTCCGGTCAGGTGCAGAGACAAAGGATGATGACCTTGGCTTTCTAGAAAGAATGTTGTTATGGCTACATAGCATCTAACTCCGTACAATCCCCCCTCCCATTTTCCCACCATAGAAAAGGCATAGTAGAAGAACAGAAAGTGTGGCAGGCCAGAGATCCAGAAGGAAAGATGGCTGCAGGCACTTTATGTCATTTCAGCCAATTACCATTGGTAACTCTTGCATTTCATCTTAATAGAAGTACTTTGGGAAATTTTGGAATATATTTTATTCATATAAAGGTCAGCCGTAAAGTTCATTGTCCTTGCAATGGGTCATGGGTTTTTCTGTCATTACCCAAATAATTTTTTAAAATCTATTTTTATTTTATTCAAAAAAAGTTAAAATACAAAACTCCAAATTTTTAAAAAGGAGGCAAAGAAAAATTACAAAGCAAAGAAGACATTGAAAAAAGTGCATTAAAAATACCAACACATATATTCATCTTATCCCACCTAATTGAATACTGATTCATATATTACTACAACATTAGTTTCCCTCCCCTTGCAAAACAGGCCCCCAAAGTTTTAAAACTATTAAATCTATTTGCAAATTATTGACCTGTCTATGTACTATATTAATGAACAAGCGATTAACAGAAGAACAATAATAAGGCAAGGTTAAAGTATCAAACCCCTCTGTTAACAACCATTACTGTAATCAACATAATGGGTATAAAATTTACTATGGCATCTTATCTCTCCCAAATAAGAGTGAAGAATAATTCCGTATTTGTTTCTTAATACCATCTCTTGTCAATTGTTGTCAATTCAATCTCCACAACTGGTCTCTCTTCCAAACAAAGTCCAGATGACTTTCCAAGTAGGTGTGATAAATCCATTGCCCAATCTCCTTCAACCCTCCTAGAGAAATCCTCCATTCCCTCAGGCTTCTGCTGTTGTAAAAGAATTCAGGCTGGAATTTCAGAGGTGGATGCAATCAACTCAGTTCTAAGTCTGTATAATCCGTAGGCATTTCCAAGAGGTTTGCAACCTCCGTATCACAATCCTTTTGTGAATCTAGTTTATCGAGATCTACATGCATCGGAATATTTTCCACAGCCGTTATCATTTCATCAAATTTTAAAAAAGTTTCAACAAAAAATTGCATGTTACCAAACTCTTCCCAGGTATCAGCCACTCTTCCTTGTCTGTAATCTGATATATTATTGCTCTACGTAACTTAACCAGGAAATAAAGAATACTAAGGCAAAATGAAGAAATACATAAAGATATTTTCTGAATATTTTGATCCAAGATAAACAGAAAAATTAAAAAAAAATGCGCTCCAAATATTTTGTAAATTAATTCACTGCTGGGATAAGTCCAATGTTAATAAAATGAAAACACTTTCACTATCCAAAAACACCCACTGTTTCCTTATAGAAAGGCAAAAGGTATTCAAAACAACACAAATCACAAGGAATCCAGGAGCAGCAACTGCCAGAGAGACTTGAACTTCGGCAGCAAAAGTTGCAGATTGTTAGCAAGAGAGAGAGAGAGAAAAACCCCATTCTGTTCAGCAGCCATTTTGGGAAGGAGCCCCAAAGAAAAAACCAGTTTTACCCAATTTGGGGTAACTCAACAAAGTTTTGGGAAGCTCGGGGAAAAATGGAAAATATGCCCTCTCGCTGCCATTGCCCCACCTACGATCAGGAGAGAAGCAGCAGCCGCAGCAGAGAGAATTAAGCCAGAGAAAGATCCTTGACATCCTCTCTCAATGGACATTTGCCCCAAGCGCACTGAGCCACACCTCGAAAGAGCTTCATGGCAAGGACGGACATTCTTCAGGGGGCACAAGAATTAAAAGATGGAGGGAGGAGAACATCGAGCAGGAGGACCTGGCTGAAGGATCTGGAGTAAAAGCAAGACCAGTATGCACAAGTGGAGGCTGCTAGTGGATAACAACAAGCTGTGTGAATGTGAGAAATGCAGAGCTTGGCCCATCAGCTGTTATCTCGGCTACTACCAGAAACATGGACCAATCATGGCTTATTTTTGGCTTCTAGTGGCTTCTAGATGGAGGAGGAGGAGGAGAAAGATCAGAAGGTTTATTTTTTGGGAAAGAGCTTCGGGAGGCTGGCTCTGATCTCTCTGGTTCTCACGCCGTAGATCAGAGGGTGGACAGTCCAGGGGAAGAGCAGATAGGTTGCACTGAGGAGGTTGTGGACGTCCTGCGAGGCCGATTTGGCCAGCCGGAAGACGACGGATGAGGAGAGGCGAGAGGAGTAGCTGATGGCGATCACCATCCAGTGGGTGCCACACGTGTGGAAGACTCTGTGACGGACGTTGCCAGAGCGGATCTTCAGAGCCGTGTGGACAATCCGGCCGTAGGAGGCCAGGAGGAGGCTGAGGTCCAGGAGGAATTCAAAGGACCGTAAGGCTAGACCCAGCCTCTTGTTCACGGAGATGTCGCTGCAGGAGAGCCTCATGAGTGCCATGTGTTCACAGGCAAAATGGCTGATGACGTTGGAACGGCAGAACCGCACCTGGGAGGCCAAGGCCACCACCGGCCCAACAGTGCCCAGGCTTCTCACCAGGGACAGCAGCATCAGGAGGCTCAGGAGTTTGGTGGTCATGAGTTCTGCGTAGCGCAGCGGGTGGCAGATGGCCAGGAACCGGTCCAGAGCCATCATCAGAAGAACGTTGCAGTCCAGGAGGATGGTGAAGTAAAGGAAGAACATCTGGACCAGGCATTCGGTCAGGGAGATGTGGCTGGCGGGCAGCACCAGGCTGAAGAGCATCCTGGGGAGGATGGCAAAGGTCCCAAAGAGGTTGACCGTCAAGAGCAGGGCGATGAGCAGGCACATGGGGGAGTGGAGGCTCTCCTCCGTCTTCACCGTGTAGATCACGATGGAGTTGGTGGTGACGATGAGGAGAAAGAGGCAGAAGAAAGGAAAGGCGAGGAAGGGCCTCCACTCCCGGAGACCTGGGAATGGGACGAGGGTGAATTCCACGTAGGACACGTTGGCTGCGCTGTTCTGCATCTCTGCTCCCGGAGCTGGCAGGTGGACGGAGCTCGGGCGGCTGACACCTCTGGATTCTGAGAAGAACCGTTGGCTTTTGGTCAACCCCAAGTTGGGTGAAGCCTTGCAGAAGAAGAAGCTGAGATGATCCCACAGTCCTCCTCCTCCTCCTGCTCTGCACAAACCCAACTCCCTTCTAGCACTGATCCACCAAGTGGGTCATGAAATATCTGCAGGAAAACCACCGAGCTCAGCGAGCACCAAGGACTCCAATAAGGATTTGATTAGGATTCCAAGGGTGAATATTTCTTGGAAAACATCTCTTTGATTGTGAGGGCCGACTGCAATTTTTCCTAAATGCTGCTCTATGGACTCCTACTCTGAGCAGAAATGTGGCCTGAATGACCTCATCAAACGGTTTAATACCTGGAGTATTAAGTGAGGAAGCCCATCGCCTGCGAAGAAAAGACGAGGCAGAAAGTATCAGGGGAAGGAAAGCAGAAGAAGAAACGAATCCTTAATGCGTGATGGGAACTGCATGGAGTCAAACTAGGCCAGGACTCTTCAGAGAGAAGGAAGAGAAAAGGGGACCCCAGAAAGAGGGCAGAGATGAGCCACAAAGACCATCAGGGGCCTGGAGGCCGAACCGTGTGGGAAACAATGGAGAAGCTCTTTTCTAACGGGGGGAAAGGACAGGGTGGGAAATGATAGCAATCCTCTAGTACTTGATGGTCTGCCACAGAGAAGAGGAAGGGATCCTCCAAAGCCCCGAAGGGAGGACAGGAAGCAGTGGATGGAGACTCATCCAGGAGAGACGCAAGCTGGAACTAAGGAAGAATTCAACCCACTGGTTGATTGTTCTCACCGTCAGAAAAATTCCTCCTGGACTCAGCTTCCTTGCGGAGGTTATGGGTGCACCAACACTGGGGGCTTTTAAGAAGGGATTGGACGACCAATTGTCTGAAATAGTGTAGGGTCGACTAGAAGACCTCCAAGGCCCCTTCCATTCTCCCTCCCAGATGTCTTTAAAATAAAAGGCTCTGTGTGGGGAGGGGTTCCTTTTGGCCTCCTGGAATTGCAGTGCTCAGGGCCTGTTCAAGAAAGGGAAGCCGGCTAGATTGAGCGGAGATGCCCCTCAGAGAATCAACCTTAGAGGACCGGGTGCCTACAAGAAGCCCTCTCGGCCGTCAGCCTCCCCTCTCCGCCAGCTTTCCCCGTTCAAGTCCTGAAACCTCCCAGCAAACACTTAGCATCTACTCACCAAGGTCCGAGGAAGGCCCTCTGCCCACCTTCTGCCGGAGCCCCAAGGCCTGAAATCTTCTCCAAGGGATCCTTTGGGAGGATCAGCCCAAAAGGTTTCCTCCCCAGGTTGCAGGTCAGGCCTCCTCCCCCCCCCCC